TGTCGCAAGCTGTGTTTGTCACCACACCACCTGTCCAGAGAGTGTCTAAACGCAAAATGCCAATGCTTAATGCGCTCCTTCAACAGCTTCCCCTTGAGGAACAGTCGCTGCTCCGATGCGTCCAAGCCGCACTCCTGCCGCTTGCACATGCAGAGAAGTGGGGCTTCGTTTGCTGCAAGGGCCTTGTCATTCTATGCACCTTGTCCCATCTCACCTCACGACATGAAACCTTGGTTTCAGGCTTCTGTGCAGCTCCGCGTCAGCGTTGCTGGCATCAAGCCCTCCAATGCCCAGGCACCGGAAGCCATCCGAAACAATCCCCTGACGGCTCCTCGTGGCACTTCCTTTTGAGCTCACCGATTGTCAATGAAGCTTCTATTCCTCCAAGCTTGAAGGACCTTCCACAGTCTCTGCGTTTGCCGTGGCATGCGTAGCAGTTTCTGCATGATGAGATCACATGTCTATCCGGACTGTTACATGGCGCGGCATGGAATCGAATCAGCTAAGCTGCAGTGAACAAGCACATCACTTGAATCTGATCCAAGGCACTTTATAGCCCCGGAGCCTTTGAAACTCAGCTCCATCAGCCTTGACTGGCCAGGAAAGAATATAGCCCTCTTGATGAAGCCATGGCAGCAAGACACTCCAAAGCATTAGCCTCCTGAGAGAGCTGCTTTTTGCCTCGTACGCCGACTTGCGGTGAGTGGCTTGTCCCTGTGCCAAGAAAGAATCCTGAAAGTATTGAATCAATCTGGCAAGATCTCCGCCACTGACACTCTAACGATAACACGATGCAGTGTGGCTTCTCTAGATGCCTTAGGAAAGCAAGAGAAAAACGACGTACTGGTGAAACAATTAAGTGGTTCCAGCAGAATCATGCTGGACCGTTCATAAGCTATTAACTGTCTCCAGCTTCATGCTTGGCAGAGAACTTGGAGATGCGAAGGGAAGTGCAATGGACATCCTGCAGCTGGTCTTGAACCGGACTGCTGTCACCCCCAACCTGCCTGTCACCCCAAGTGACCACACCACCGTCACCGCGGATGACGGCAAAGGCTGAGTTTGAGCCTTGAATATCTCGAGCGTCGTAGAGCTGATCCTGCACCACCTGGCAGTCGCCTCCGTAGTCCTCGTCTCCCCAAGTGACAACCGTCCCATCTCCAAGTATGGCCGCGAACGCACCATCGGAAGCCGAAAGCTTCTGGACATCTCTCAGCTGGGCCTGGACCGCCAGGCTGTTCCCCCCTCGACCAAAGCCGTGACGGCCTCCCCAAGTAACAACCGTGCCATCCCCTCGAAGGGCAGCAAAAGCGGTGTCGGTGGCCCGGATCTCCTTGATGTTCCGGAGCTTGTCCTGCACACTACTGCTGTCACCCCCCGAGTCAGCTGAGCCCCAAGTCACCACGGTCCCATCACCTCGAATGGCAGCGAAAGCGTAGCTGGAACCATGGACTTTCCTGACATCTTGAAGCTGAGCCTGGACGGCACTGCTGTCGCCTCCGCCATGCTTGTCGCCCCAGGTGACGACACTACCGTCACTCCGGATGGCTGCGAAGGCCGAGTACGTGTGATGAACCTGTGTGACGTTTTGGAGAAGTCCTTTCACTTCACTGCAATCTCCTCCGCAGTCCTCGCTTCCCCACGCTGCGACGGCACCATCACCCCGAATTGCCGCAAACGCACGCCCAGAGGCAGCAATATGCTTGACATCCACAAGCTGCTCCTGCACGGAGCTGCTGTCTCCACCAAAGCGCCGATCACCCCAGGTGACTACACTGCCATCATGCCTGATGGCAGCAAAGGCAAAGGCCGAAGCCGACATGTCGTGCACATTGTGAAGCTGAGACATCACTGATGTGCTGTCAGCGCCACAAGCGGTGTCACCCCAAGTAACTACCGAATCATCACTCAACACGGCAGCAAAAGCTCCACTTGAGCAGCGAATCCTCTGCACACCTTCGAGCTTGGCAGGCGCGACACTGCTGTATTGACCACAGGCAACTTTTTCGCCCCAGGAAACCACAGACCCATCACCACGGAGTAAGGCAAATGCTCTGCAAAGCCTTCCGGACACGAGAGTCGCGTACCTCACTGTGGCAGTTACAGTATCCCCATTTTGCAGGCCTATTTCTTGCAAAGTGCGAGTTCCCTTCAAAAGCTGACCACTTGCAGTGATCAGCTCATGGATGCCAAGCTCCTTCTGGACCTTGGAGCGCAGCCTTTGGACAGTGCTGTCATGATCCACGACCACAGTGGTCGCTTCCCCACTGAGCAGAGCAACTCGTAGTGTGATGGACGCTGGCGGCACCGTGTCCTCTGGACATTCTTCCGTGCCAGACATCACGTCTTGGGCATTACGGCCAAATCACATGGAGAGGCCATGGCCTGTTCGAGGATACCTGGTGAGAAAGTGAGCTCAGTAGTAAGTCTCTGCGTGCTTCGATGTTTTTAGAACCAGTGCTCTTCTGTACGGCTGTGGGGTCGCGTGTAAACGTGTTTGACAGCTTCAGCAGTGTGCGAACCAGCTATGTGTCCGGATACGTGACTGGAGCCAAACCAAGGGGCATGCACGTCAAAGAGACAGCTGGCAGCAAGACAATCTAGCACCTCGTGGCTGGCCAGGTGACTGCACTGGATACTCAATGCTGCCCTGAGCTTCCGACCCGGAGCCCCCCCCCCTACGACAGAAAGAAGCGTCGTGCCTCACGTGTTGCTGCGCAGAAGTATTGCTTGACAGACATCCACAGAAAGCCTCAGACTCAGATCTGATTTCACCCTCAAATTGTATAAACTTCGTCAATCTAGAACCTTTAGCCGTGCAGGCTGCCCTTCTTTCTGCAGGCGTCCTGGTGACAGCGGGCTAAGCAGACCGGCTGCGCTTCAACCTGGCAGCTCCATGCCATGAGTCCACCAGGCACCGCCGGACAGGCCGAAGGCTGCTGGAATACGGGCACCGCAGCCCGTTGAAGCCCATTGAAGCCCGTTGATCTGTTCCGCGTCCACACGTGGAAGTTTAGGCTCCGACTCAGACCGCTGCTGGTTCAATCCTCCTGCTTTGGCTTTGGAGGGTGATACCACCAGGTCCGAAGAGGGCCATTCCACGGCCCGCCCCCGCTCTCTTCTAGCTCTTTGTTCCGCAGCTTGCGAATTGGAACTCCAACAATCAGCCCAATGACCACACCGAATGCAGCGGCCTTTGGATTCGCAGCGATTCCCTTCAGCCGGACAGTGATGTGACGGCAAACGACATGGAGTGCCGTGCGAATCATCATAAATCACGGGCGCGTTGGAGAGATCAGGTTTGTGCTTGGAAAGACAAACTTTCCTCGTTCATGCTAATCAACATAAGGCCGTGCCGCAAGACACTACAGTTTACTTTCAATACGAGCAACTTGGTTGACTGGCTGCTGCCGCATTGAGTGCTCAAGAAAGCATCGACTCCTTCTGGACATGTGACGGCTCCAGCACGCTTTAACCCCCCACCCTCGTGCTCATGCTTCCCTCCTGTCCGAGCACCTGCACAAAGCCTGCCTGCCCACAAGGCAATCAAAGAACTACCGCTCTGAATCAAGGCTGTAATCGTGAAGCCTTGAACATTTGCAACTCCGTACGGCTAATTCCCGCAAGTTGCTTCACGGATTGAAAAAAATGAACCTAAACCTTAAGCCCTATTAACTCGAACAGCCACACATTTGCTGCATAGTGCAAACCTTTCTTTTGGACTCTGCAGCAGACAATAGATCTGGTTTCCATGTTTACCCATGATGACCGTGAGTCCATTCGAAGTCAATTGCTAGGTAGGCAGGTCCGTCCGATATTGCGAAAGTCGAATGCCAACACTGCGACAGCCAGGAACCCTCCAGACTGTGAATCGGGTCCTGGCTTCCATGCTGCACACATGCCTATTGGACACTATGCTTGCGGTGGGAAGGGGGAGGAAGAGGAGGAGGGAGCTTCCGCTTTGAGCCCTTGGCACATGTCAACAACCGAGGTCCGGACGCCACGCGCCGTACCGAATTGCTACACTCATGAGCCGAACGGAGCAACGGCGTCGAAAAAGGCAAGTTGGCAAGCCCGATGACGACTTCGGCATCAGCTCTCCAAGAAAGCAGTCAAACAGAAAGCCTGCATGATCCTGCAAGTGCCAACTACCTGTGCTGCAGAGCGATGCAAGCCTTCCGGATGGCGAACCAGTGGTCATGATATTGACCTCAACTGTCGGCATCTTTCAATGGGTCAGTGATCACAGTCTTTTCGTAAACCTGGCAAGCGCAAGTCTCCTCGCCGAACCCTGAAAGGTGCAAGCAGACTGCGCATCCTCTTTCAGTGCTCGGGGTCTGACACAGAAACGCCTGAGTCGCACTAGCAGGATCCTGGCTCAAAGGCTGAAAGAACGTAAGCCCATGCAAGTCATCGACTGATTGCTAGTCACTGGCCAAATCGCTTGCAGTCTATCCTGCATCTTTTCCTTGACATCAGGATGCCTGGCAGCACGGAACATGCTGGCAAAGAAACAACTATGGCTTGAGGAGGCACCTTTCACATGGTGACCATACATGCAAACTGTCAGATCACGGGGGGTGGCGCTGCATCCTTTCCAAAGTGTGCTTGTGATGCCTTGACGGCACTAGCTCCAGATGGTATCGCTCGAGCGCGACGGTCAAGACCTTAACGGCAAGTCTTGCCGCTTTCGGTGTATTGGGATTCTAAACGTCTGTACATGATTGTTCCACTTGAGCGTCTCAACTCAAACAGAGTGCTAATTGGAAGACGTTCGACAAGGATTCGGTTGCCATCCGTGCCTGAATGCTGAAGTTTCCACCATCTGCTGAACTGTCAACCTTGGCCGCTGCTGCATGTCCACGTGCCACAGGACGAGGCATTCATGGTGTCTCGAGCTCGGAGCATTGTAGGGCTGCCCTTCGAGACCAGCACCACCTTGATTGGCAGCTGCATAGGCAGAACGCAAGTCCGAAGAAAGCAGTTTCGTGCAACAAATGTGTTGCCTGCCTTGGCTTTGAGAACTTTGAGATCGGACCAGAGCACGCTCCTCGAAGATGCTTGTTGTATGTGCGGTCGTATGTAAAGACGTATGTCTGTATGTATGGATTCATTGATGCAACAATGCATGCATGCATTCCTTCACAACTTACACATCCGCAACACGTGAATACACATATCTAAACACATCAACATATAGAATCCGTAACATGTCATTGCGTTCTGGATGCACCAAAAAACAAAACCATATGTGTGTTTACGTGAACTGTTGTCCATGTATACATGCCAGACTCGCGCACTGCCAAACATCAAGTTCGGAGACTTGTGTGCAAAATCCCCACCCTGCTGGAATGGAAGACATTCTGCTGATGCTCGGGCCTAAATTAACGGATACCGCTATTGCACATCGGCAGCTAACAGATTCGACAGATGCACGCATATAAACAGACAGTGTAATGCAGAATAATACAGAGCACCTACTGTCGCTCATAGTCCATAAAGAAGCGAAGATAAGCATCAAGGTAAGAAGAGCAGAAATGCTTGCATGTCCCTGTTCACATCAATACGTGTATGCGTATATTATATATACATATATATATATATATGTGTGTAGATGTATAATGCCTGCTGTAAAATGTGTCTGAATATGTGAGCATCTATCCAGACTACTACTACACTTGCATATGGCGCTCAAACATGCAGCTGCTGGACACCCTTCCCATGTGATCCACAAGCTTTCAGTTGGTTAGCACACGACACCATTTCGATTATCGTCGCAAGGTTGAGGGACTGCTGCGCAGGGGAGCTGTGGTACAAGACAATGTTAAATTTTTGAAACCCAACCACAGACTCATCTTGCACAGTATTCTGGTGATTGGCTGAAAAATGCACGCCCTGCTCACTGGCCAAAGGTCCTGCTGATCCAAGTTCACTCCGATCTCTGCCAAGTCGCCGGGCCCGAAAGCCGGACCCTTCCGAATATGCGAAGTGGGGCTGCAGCGTCAAATCATCTCCCCACCAAGCACTACATCCGTACGAAAACTCATTGATGTAAAGCACAGAATGAAACCAAGACCCCAGATCAAGACCCCAGATGAGTATGGTAAGCAGTGCCTGACAATACATTCCATACTTTACCTTGCATGTCCCTGTGTTGCCTGCAGAAGGTTGTTGAGGCAGTGCACACCTGCATTCATTGCTGGTCCACCCACTGCTAAACACGCCCCACGTTCGGGCAAAGGAACTAGCTCTTGCCGTGCGCAATAGCAGGAGTGCAGTCTCGGCATCACACCACATAAGCCGCCTAACTGCCGCTCGTGGTAGATGTACCTGGGCGATTCTGTCCACAAAAGTCAGACTGCAAGAAACCAGAAAATTCCGAGCACCACGCCCCATAGTGGGACACCCACTGAGGATTCATTTGGGAATCCCGAATCCCATACAACAAACTGATGATGTCTGAGAACCATGTCGAGCATTCGGTTCCAATGCCAAAGAAACCAAAACAGTTCAACCGGAGACCACCCGACACGAAACCGCATGCTTTCAAAATGTGGCTGCAGCAGGAAGCGGGATGCGATAAAAAAACACGGCATTGCTGACAACTACACCTTGTCTGCGCAATCACGGATTTTTGTGTGAAAGTACAATGCAAATGGAAACGATGCCCACCGAATGATTGAAAGTTGGCTAACATACCCGAAAGTACAGTACCGCTGAAGATTACAACACCATTATCGGCAAATAAGATCTTAAACAACTTCTTTCTGCTTACTAAACATTTCATCAAAACTGTGAGAATTTTGTTAGACTCGGACAAGCAATTGCACTGGTTCAATGTTTAGCTTCAAATCTGGTTGACGAACAATCGGAGTGCTTTGGGTCAGCTGCTTGTAATGCAAAGTTTGATGGTCACACCACGTCGACGAAGACCAGCTGTGAGCACGTTTTACAAACATAGCACTCTTAACGGGAATTTTAGTGACCAGTAACCAGCCATATCAAATGAGAAAGCTCTTTAGCAACAATCCAAAGAGCTGCCGCTCTGAGCCGTCCGAAAAAGTGGATTTCTCCAAAAAGGTCTTACCGACGCAACACTGGCTGTGCGCAACAAAAACAACTGCAAGATATCTGGAATGCAGTTGCTCGGTTTCCATCCATAGCTTGGTTCCAGATGTGCGCTTCGGAGATTCCAGCGCAGCTGAGCTGGCTCAATCAGCAGACTGGAGAAAGTTTCCGGAATCTTTGGTGGATGTGTGTTCTCGTCACCATTCAAGCTTTGGTTTGTTGTTTGTGCTCAAAAACTTCTGTGTCCGAAAAGTGTTGACACCGCTCTGCTNNNCAAGTCAAACCAAGCAAGCACAAGCACTGAACACTCGGACACTTCTTTTCCTCACACTCGCGGTCTTGAGCCAACGCAGTTCGGTCGTTCTTTCACTGCAGCAAACTCTGTTCTACGGCTCACAACCAAACACAAACAAACCACTGGCCCCTCAGAGATTTCGATGCTTCTTGTAAGCACGATTCCCACAACTCCTTCAGGAGCTTTCCTCACTGCGATCTCATCACTGAGGCTAATGGCACAAAACAAGCTCAAGACTTCCTATCAAGCGTAAATTGGGCTCATGCAACAAAACATGCTCTCCAAACATGTCT